AGCCGTCTCAGTCCGATCACTCTCTAGACCAGCAATCCGAACTGAACTTTTTCGGCCTTGTTGTTGCAATGCGTTGTCTCGTTGTATCAACTGGACTATCTTCTCTTCAGCTGTCTCTACACGCCTCTCTAACTCTCCCACCGTATTTCTTAATTTCCCATTCTTTTCCTCCAAAACGAATGCCTTTCCCTCAAGTCTTTCTATCATCTCTTTGTTCTCCTGTCTTATTTCTTCCCTCAGTCTGTTCATATAGACAATCATATCCTCTTTCGCCATGAGAGTTAAAAGTACCTGGTTAATATGGTCAACTTTATCATTGGTACTGTCCATGTTGCTTACTGACACTTCACATCCCCTACGGTCAGTCTTCGCGCTCGCCTTGCTACTTGTACTAGTAGTCCTGCTGGTTGTTATTTTCAAGAATATTAGATTACACAATATACAACAGTGGCGAAACAAATGTCAACAGCGAAATCAACATATACCAGGTGTAGAGCACACAGGTGAGCGTTTTTACCTGAGTGAAATCCAACTCATCAGGAACAGGTGTGTGCGTAGATAGTGGTCACTATAGCGGTCACTGTAGCATGACGAACTTGAGAAAGTTCTCAGATATCACAAAAATCAACAACTTATTCCAATTTCCAACATGTCACTTATGTTACATGAAGTCCAAAGAATATGTTGTATCAAAATGGTTTGCAATAATTCCGTATTACGAGGTAAAAAACACCATTTTGTGGAGACAGAAAAAACACCACGTCCTCATGCGGGTGATAATAATGAAAAAATGAAGACAATGATGATGAATAATGAGGATGATATGCTTACGGATGATGTTGTTGATGACGACGATGATGGGGAGGATTCCTTCATAACTGGTGTGCAAGGAGAAATGCAAGCATGTGGGAGAAGTTTTTTTGTATCGTCTTGTTTATGTTTTGTAACAAAAATAATTGAAAAATAAACAAACTGCTCCAGAGACATATCTCATACTCAACACTAAGGAAGTACCTTATTCTCAACACTCGAGGCATTTGTCTATAGTTTATTATCGTAATAGTTTGTAGTTCAGCTACAAATTTCCAAGATTTCAGGAATTTCCATATGATATATTTAAAGCAAAATTTGTTTTTCATGATTTTTTATGCTGGGTGGTTTCCATATGGTGATAATTCATCATACATCTCATTTAAGTACCAATTCTATCTAATTAGGGATTATATAATCGAAGAGGTTGCTTACACAGTCTCACTTCAGGTAAAGATTGTGCACACGACCGGGACGATCCTTGGGAGGGGATATGTGATCTAACTATGGTGTGACACTAATTAGTTGATTGCTTTGTGGACCGATCAAAGTGACCTGATGGTCATTTTTACCTGAGATGCAGTTGTAATGACGACACAGGACATGTATGCGATCTTTTCGGGAAAGTTGGAAGGCGGGGAGAGACGGCATCCCGAACCGTGGGAACTGTCGGGCAATGTTCAGTGCTTACAAAATCAACAACCAACTAATCATTATACTATATGAATCCAATGAATTTTGTCTGCTAAAAGCTAAAGTAAAAATTGGGATGATTATTGTGGCACGTTCATACCAGGCTTGGTAAAATATCGCAGCGCATGTGCGCATTATAAAATAGGTAAGTGTGGATCAGCGTACAGATCTTGTAATGGGCGCTGTTGAGTAAGTTTTGACATTAAAACAGAGTCCATACATCCTTCGATGGAAGGTGTTTTGGCGTGAAATGCATCTGCACACGTGTATCGAAGCTTTAGGTAACATAAAAAGTTTATATACTATCGATAATTGATTAACTCACCACAGTCAACAGACGGTAAATGAAAGTGATGGCTACATGCCAATAGTCACATTTATTTTGCCGTTATTACGACAGTCGATACAATGGTAAGATATTTTCTAAAAAACTTACATGTTTTTTTAGTAGACTCGACAGCGGGCTCTTCTAAATGCTCATCAGTGGAAGTTCCTCCGACAATGTGAGCGGTGTACCATGGCATGCACAAAAACGAACGAGATTGTCGCGAGAAAGCCAGAGCGCGTGCAGGGTCACATGACTCCAGAGGACCACGTCAGTTGGCTGTTTATATCTAAGGCGTGTCTCTCAATGTCAAATCCAAAGGATAACTAGAAATTGTCATAGACAGTTTTGACGGGCTTTTCACCTATTTTGGCCTGTGATTAAAGGAAATGTCTGCATTACATAGGCACTATGTATGAAATCAAAGTACAAAATCAATCTTCAATAGTAGAGATCAAAGCACTGTTGAATTTTAACATTACTTATTGTTATCAATAGTAAGTGTCCACAGGTCTAAAGGCGGTTTTTAAAGAAATTTCACAATTGTTTTCCTCTCAAAATATTAAATTGGATTCTTAGGAATGTTTTACATGATTGACACCTGTGACATTGAAAGTAAGTAAAAGTAATTTATTTTAGCATGCTATAAATGTGAAATATCAGGTCATCAGGCTTCACAGAACTTCGGAAGATTCGAAACGTTTGGTAGTCCAAATAACACCTAATGAAAACTTTGACACCTAACGGAAAACGGAAGATTAATTTCTCAAAAAAAGTTTTAATAATAACAGACGACTGCAAGTGTCAAGAGAAGGAAAATGACCTAATTTTGTCACTGCTGTTCGGAAATGGCAAAAATGTCATTTAATGACTGTAACATAATTGACCCCTGTGACTTTGAATTTTTTCAAGCTTTGTTAGGCCATATTCTAGGGGCCTGTCAACTGAACCTCATGTTGCAGACGCCAGACAACGGATGCTGCACAACAGCATTACCTAATTATATAACTTGGCCTTTTACTCAGTGATTTATTTACTTTTCTGGTAAGTCATTTGTGAGTATGGTATAGAGGGGTCACTGGCGCGGTGGTAAAACACGCGTAAACTTGCGCTCTCCATATATGTGGTACAGAATGTGCACCGCTATAGCACCCGGGCAAGAAAGCATTAGATTATTGTTATGGAAATTACCTTAGTCCTCCTTCATCCATACATAAGATCACGAGTCCTTCGAACTTTATGAAACCCTCCATGAATAACCTAGTTCGAAGAATCGTTCCATATTGTTTAGGAATCTTGGTGTCAAATTAAATCTATACATTGCTCCATTAAAATGTTTTACATAAAGACTCATGTAAGCTTAGTGTAGCAGTGTGAATCAGAAAGAAATAGTCATATGTCAAAAAAAAAAAAAAACATTACGTGACCTTCCGTTGCCAAATGAAATGAAATAATATATATATCACATGCAAATCTTTTAATTAACCAGTTAGAGAGAGGAATTTTATTAATCAAGTTCATTAGAATTGGATTCTAGTAACTTAGGTTATTTTGAAATAAGGATCAAACACAAAAATGTGTTTCGAATTTACTTTAAAATGACAACAACTTATATAAATATATTATTCATACAAATTCCACGATATTGAAATCCATATCTCTGATTGTCAAATTTCATAACTCGAAATATAATGTAAAATTGTGTAACAAAATGATTGGGAAATTAATGTACATATGATCGTGTTCACATTTCCTTTAAAAACCGATATTTTTTATTGTCTGAAAGAGCTAGGTGCTAATTTCCAAATTATTTGATTTATATATTATTTATTTTGTACACATAAGCTCACAGAAGACTGATGTCTAAATTTCATCCCATTTTTCCTCATTATGTAATGGCATCTTTGGCCTAGAACATAAGTGAAGGCCATTCATATTGATAGTTCTAATTCAACGTTGCAGTAGCATTATTGTGACTTAATATCAAGACATTGGCACTTTTGGTTATAAAGATTATGTGTAAAATTGTGTAGCAAAATAGCACTTTAAACACTACCAAGGATTTCTTGTAAAATGTTTATTTCTTATTTACAATTCGTATAGCTAATGTCATTGAACTGTTGTGACGCCAAATCCCTTGCAAGCGTATCGTAGCCTCATTTCTTTACCCTTATTTACAGCAGTCAAGGTAGACGTAACCGATTTATTTGAATCGGCTCGCTGCAGGTAGTTGATTAATGCACCCGAGTATTGAAATATTGATGTTTTGTCGAAACTTATTCTAAGTAACTTGGAGTAATTCCAGTTCAAACGTTTTGTTGGTATTAAAAAAATTAAAGGAAATATTCACTGTATTCATTGCTATAATTGAAATATCAAATCTCCAGGCCTCAGAACTTCTGAAAAAAGTTTCTTAAAGTTGTCGAAACAGCACTTTGAAATTTTGGACCCTACCGGAAATCGGATGTTGAAATTTTGAGAGGGAGTGTCAACAGATGACCAAATTTCATTTTAGTTTCAGATTTCAAAGTTGAGAAAATGTCATTTCATTTTCTGAACATGATTGGCCCCTGTGACCTTGAGCATGTGTCAAGGTCAATTATATTAATAACAAAGATCTGCAAGTTGGTCTTTTGTGGAAGTTTTGCTTAAACCAATTAAAAGCAAGTCTCTATAGTACAGTACAGTACGGTGACCAAATCACGTAACTGTTTTCCTCTTAATAAGTAAGAAAACGTCATTCAATGATACAGTCAAACTTCGATAATTCGATATTCAAGGGACCGTCATAAAAATATCGATACATCGGGACTTCGATACAAAAATAGTTCAGTCAAATAGCTGGTCCACGTAATAGGGGTCCGTATTTAAAAGTTTTTTTCATTATGTTTTAGACAAAAGATAACAATTATGTGTGTATTAATGATTTAAATAAAGACTCAACAATCAAAAACAGTTAAATTGAATTTTATTACGACCAAACAACAATAAATAACATGAAACATTCGAAGTACATGGCAATGAAGTATCACACGTAAATGACGAAATGGGTAAATGTATTTTACGGAACAGAAAAATCACATGTCACGAAAAGCACGAAATTGGCACTGTCAGTTATTTAGTACTCTTAAACACTATCACCATTAGCACTAAAACACAAATAACACATTAATCAGTCACACTTAGAAACAGTTCCAAAGAACTCACTCAGGGTACACTGTTTTCTCTCGAGGAGGAAATACTGTTGGATGGAATAACTGACGTCGGCAATCTGTGAGGCGGCTGAGTCTGTATTATTCCCGATGCCCGTCTGCTGGAGAAAATCTCGGACTGTATCTAGGGCGTTCATGGCGTCATGGATGGTTTGCTTGGTCGTTGGCAAGGAATCGTCGTCATTGTCGTCATCGTCATCTTCAGCTTTCGGTTGGCGTTGGGACACGATGCTTTCTAAGATGTCGCTGTCGGTCATCTCGGCACAGGTAAGGGCTTGGTCATCAACACGTGCGTAGTCGGTAAAAGATACACCAGTGGACAGCTTTCTCAAGACAGCTAGTGGAATGTCGTCGTCATCATCGTCGTCGACATCAGTAGGGGTGGCAATGGACTCACATGGCGGGGAGTCAGGCAGTACGAAACCGGCATGTCTGAAGCAGTTGGAGATTGTGGCTGGGGTAACTTGTCGCCAGGCATTCTTTAGCATGTAGAGGGTGTAACGTGCACCCTATGGTAGCGCGCGTGCACGCCGGGTCTCTCGATTTAGACAGAGCTACCTGCTCCGGAAGCGATTGGAATTCCTCAGCTACCTGGCTGAGCAGTTGAACAATTACTCAATTTAATAAACAATATATCTATACACTACAACAGAGAAGGACAGTACCTCTGTCCACCATGTCACCATACACGAGCCAACAATGTGTCCGCGGTACGTATCACGTCGCCTAGGCGTATGTTGCCCAACAAGGCTACCACACACCGCAACACTAACAGACTGTCAGCACTACAACACTGCAAGCACGTCCCTTATTACTGAGCCGACCACCGTACAGCTCCGACGTCGCCTGCCAGTGTCCTGTTATTATCACAGTACAAAGTGTTGTGCCAAGTACTGTATCAGTAGTCAGGCGTACCAGAGTAGCCCTTGCAGGCAACCCCTTTTCAGGAGATTCTGGCGTACCTGACACGTCAACGTACTGGCACCGACCACACGTAACAATAACTGTTACCAGAGCTGCCTTATTCAGGCAACCCCTTACTCAGGAACTTCTGGTAACAGTATAATTGAACTGTGTGCTATAATACTTTATTACCTGTGATATAGCCGACCTTCTTCCGTCTGTCAAAATCTTCTTTTTCTGTTTACTGGTTTCAACCAGTATTTACATAAAATCTTATGTATTATTCTGGGTGTCTCCAGTATTTTCCTTCTCAATTAATACAGCACCAAAACCCACAAATACGCAAGACAAATGTTTTTATTTATTTATACAGGTATGATTACACATTTAGTAAACACTAGTTTCATGAAAACATAAGTCAATCATCGATAATTAAAATAATTAGGTAGGTGGGGAATGATACAAAACAGGACGTATACAAAACGTTACATGAAGGGAGATAACTCTAACTGAATAAAATCGTCACACTTCCCCCTCCTTAAGTCGATGCGTCCCGCATGACAAATAGAACATTTAAAGACTATCTAAAACACCGATGATCACACTAACAGTCTCCAATATGTAATAAAAGTACAACTTTCAGTAGGTCTGAAGGACACAAACACTTCCGTCCACATTTCTTCAATCATCTAACAGTCCGCATACACCACAGGAGGTCTCCGTCTCATGCATCTCAACCAGCTCGATTTCCCTATCTCCTTCTGTGTACCTTGTCGTTTTCCAGACCACATGCCTCTCTATAACTGGCTTTGTCTGAGTAGACACACTCGCCATCGCCTTTGACACCCTAGGAACTTGATGGAGATTGGTAGGAGGCCTCTCTACCCTTGGGACTTTCCGTGGGATACAATTCCTGGGATCCTTGGGACTCAATTTCTCTGGCGCCCGTTTAGGGGTGAACACTTGATCTGGCCGTGTATGCTTCCTCACCGTTGGATCAGGGATGGCCTCTACATCAGGTTCCTCGCCAGCAGCAGACTCATCATGGTCTTCCCCATTGTCAGAGTCCGACACATCACCTAGGATGCTAGCAAGATCACCAGGGTCATTGTCTTTCCACGAGTCTTCCTCCTCTCTCACTGTAGAATAGCTACCTCCTTCACGTGAGGGTCCCGGCTGTGCCGTCTGTTCTACACTGTGTCTTCTCTTCGTGTGCCGGAGAAGATTGCTTGCCGAGGTGGTAGCAAATGGGCATTCTTCACATACGAAGGATTTTTTCTCCATTTCCTTCAGACCACACATGAGAATATGCTCCTTCATCCTTTCAATATCTACACTAGTGAATGCACACATGGGACATTTCTGTTCCTTCCTGTGAGTGGTCTTTGTCTTCACCATCTCTACAACATACAAAAAAGGGAAGAAAGGATTCAGATGATGTATGAAAATGGTTCACAACTTACAAAATCAGGAATACAAGAATACTATTGGTACTCTAACTAATCAAAATTAGTAACATATTCGGCCAGCCAGCGGGGTGGCCGTCTCGTACGTCGGGACGTGAATGGGTTTCCCCATTCGCCCTCACTCGCCTCGACGATTTCACAATCATCCCCAGAGGTACGGGGTATGATATCATCCCTAACAGTTTGGGGACCTTGTCCTGTGTCTTTGACCTCCCCCTCCTTAGGTTCTGAGGTACCTTTCATCGGTCCTGTGTCCGATGTTTGCTCGCCTGTTAGCTCTTGTCTTTTCTTCAGTTGCATGCGATCTACATGAACTATTTGTGGTGCACCGCGAGTCCCACACAGTACCTTGTAGGTGACATCTGAACATCTGCCTACTACCTCAAATGGTCCTCTCCAATAACTTGTAAGTTTTGAAGAACGGCCTGGTAGATACCTCGGGAAGTAAACATAGACCTGGTCTCCAGCCGAGAAGGTTTGCCAGCTGAGCTTTTGGTCGTGCCAGATCTTTTGTCGTAGCATTTCTGCATTTGTATGTTTTCTGACATGAGCATGAGCTGTCTCCATTTTTTCCTTTAGTTCCCAAGCCCATTGGTTTGTTGGAATTTTCTTTGCGTTTTGGGGTAGCTCATACATAATGTCCAGTGGCGTTGATACTTCCCTACCAAGCATAAGGGCGTTAGGGCTACTGCCAGTAGTTTCGTGAACTGCAGATCTATATGCCATAGTAACAAAAGGCAGATGGTCATCCCAGTCCGTGTGGTGGTCATTGACGTAGGAAGCCAGCATGGAAATCAGCGTACGATTGAACCGCTCAACCATACCATCTCCCTCCGGATGGTAGGGAGTGGTTCGAGTCTTTTTGATGTGCAATACCTCGCACATTTGTGAGAAGAGTTGTCCCTCAAACTGTTTTCCCTGATCCGAGTGTATCACCGTTGGTACGCCAAACCTAGTGACAACCTCTCTAACAATGATATCAGCCACGGTCCCTGCAGTCATGTCTGGCATTGGAAATGCCTCAGTCCATTTCGTAAAATAGTCAGACACTACTAATACATAACGATTCCCTTTGCTAGTCAATGGCAAATCTCCAAGTATGTCGGTTGCTATCCTTTCCATGGGCATACCGGCACCAACTACTTGCATAGGTGCTTTCGGAGTTTTCATCGGCCCTTTTTTTCTTGAGCACACTTCACAGCCTGCTATATATTGTCTCACATCTCTCTGTAGACCAGGCCAGAAGAAGCTTTGTCTTACCTTGCTCAAGGTCTTCTTTACTCCCAGATGACCAGAGGTCCGATGATCATGACACATCTTCAATATGCTCCTTCGCTCAGTCATTGGTACAACCGCTTGCAACGTTTTGCCTTTAGAGTCTTGCCATTTGCGGTACAGTATGTCATTCGCGACTATCAACATATCCCGTTGTGACCAAAGGGACTTCACCATTACACCACCCATGTGCACGTCTATGGTGTTTGGTTTGGTAGTGTCCTCTACCCACTTCTTAACTAACATAATATCTGGATCCTCTTTCTGGAGCATTGACAAGGATTTTCCCCCGGTTTCATCTTGTTGCCTGTCGGACTCTTCTTGTTTGCTAGACCCAGTCTCTGTCAAGCCACCAACAGACAGTTTTGTTACCTTGTCCCATTCAGGATTGAACTTACACTTCCGACAAGGTCGCCTACTAAGTGCGTCTGCATTTGAGTGTTGGGATCCTGGTCGATGTTCGATTTTCATGTCATACATGCTCAGAACTTCCAACCATCTTGCAAGTTGGCCCTCTGGGTTCTTGAAATTTAGGAGCCAACGCAGGGAACTGTGATCTGTACGAAGGAGAAAATGTTTTCCATACAAGTAATGGCGGAAATACTTGACAAAGAAGACAACGGCGAGCAACTCTTTCCTTGTAACACAGTATTTCCTCTCTGACTTTGACAGTGTTCGACCTGCGTATGCAATAACTCTCTCGTGTCCATCCTGGACTTGGGCAAGTACACCTCCTATAGCAAGGTCACTTGCATCTGTGTCGAGCACAAATGGTTTAGTGAAGTCTGGGTATGCCAATATCGGGGACTGGCACAGCTTTGCTTTGAGGCAATCAAAGGCTTCTTGGCACTCTTTAGTCCATATGAAACGTTTGTGTTTTTCTGTAAGCCGATGTAATGGCTTGGCGATGGCAGAGAAGTCCTTGACGAACCGCCTGTAATAGCCGCACAGTCCAAGAAATGATCGGACCTCAGTTACAGTTGTTGGTTCTGGCCAATCCTTCACTAGTTGTATCTTGCCAGGGTCTGTGGAAACTCCTTCAGGCGAAATAATATGTCCAAGGAACTCAACATTTCTAGCACACAGCGTACACTTTTTCGCTTTTAGTTTTAAACCGGCAGCTGACAAACGCTGAAGTACCTTCTCCAGATTGCTCAACATTTCTCCAAAAGTTCTCCCAGTGACAATCACATCGTCAAGGTATATGAGGCAGATGTCCCACTGCAGTCCCCGCAACACGGTTTCCATCAGCCTTTCAAACGTAGCCGGGGCGTTGCACAGCCCGAACGGCATTACCTTGAATTGATAAAGGCCACGTTTGGTCGAAAAAGCAGTTTTTGGTTTATCTCCCTCCTCCAGCTCGACTTGCCAATATCCGGAGCACAAATCGAGGGTAGAGAACCAGCATGCTCCAGACAGCTGGTCAAGGGATTCATCAATCCTTGGTAAAGGGTAAGCGTCTTTGATGGTTGCGTCATTAAGGCGCCGGTAGTCCACACAAAATCTGGTACTCCCATCCTTCTTCTTTACGAGGACGACACCAGACGACCAAGGACTAGTTGAAGGTTCGATTATCCCCCTGTCCAACATATCATCAATATGCTCGTCTACGGCTTGTTTTGCATGAACCGGAAGCCTCCGAAGGGGTTGTTTTACCGGTGGATGATCACCAACGCTGATTGAATGTTTCACGACACCGGTTTTTCCAATGTCTTGATTATCCTTTGCAAAGGCATTGGAATGTCGAACTAACAATGCGCGTACCTGCTTCACTTGATTTCTAGTTAGCCCTTCACTGGTCCTGTCTAACAGATCTTGAAGTACCGGAGTTAGAGCCTCTTTTTCTTTGCTGGTTGTTTCACAAGACATAACACTGTCTATCGGTGTGAGAGACCCCACAACCGTCCCTGCATGCACCACTTTCACATCTGGAGATACATTCATAATTCGCAATGGGACTGTTTCACTATTGCTGACCAAAGTCTTTCCTACCAAAGCTCGATCAGTATCCAGGAATTTTGGCGCAGGTTCGATAATGCTAACACCCTTGGGCACAGCGGTACCAGGAGGAAGAATGACCTGTCCATAGGTAACCATCTCAGATTCTGGGGGGATGTTAAGAGTATCAGCAACAGCCACACGATAACAACCTATTCTTCCCTCACTGAGCAACTCAACCTCCTGCTGTCCAATTGCGAGTTTCCGTTTCACCACATCGACAACGCATTTTTCCTCGTTCATGAAGTCCAACCCAAGGACTCCGTTTACTGATAGTCTGGCTACCACTAGTCCCTTCTTGTACAAGTGGTTATCAATTAATACTGGTAACACTGTATGACCGCTTACTATCAGTGGTTCTCCATTCGCAGACAAAACGTCGCGGGGCACCTTTGTCAAGGGATGCTGATACCTATCTCGACTGCATATTGCCGTGAACAAACATTCAGATACCAGCGACAAAGTCGACCCCGTGTCCACTAGAAATTTTCCTTTTACTCCATGGATCTCCACATTAACATAAATTCCTGGCTCCCCAGCTTGTCTATTCACACCAGCTTGCTCTTTCTTTTTCGCACCATTGGCTTTTCCTTTCTTATTACCTTGCTGGTTATCCTTTCTCGTCTCTGGGCAATTCCTTTGAAAATGGCCTTTTTCACAACAATTGAAACATTTACCGTCAGTACCTTTGTTACGGAATTTAGGTGCTGGTCGCCAATTGCGCTGTTTAGACTCCAAGTCTGCTACTTGGGTCTTTAGGCCTGCCAGGGATTCTTGTATCTCAGTCATAACTGCAGTCAATGCTTTCATTCCCTGATCAGTTTCTTGGTCATTAGCCTCCTTCTGAGCTATGGGCCTTAAGAACCCTTGCGACTCCCTGTGTTTCTGGTCTGACTTGATGAAGGCCTCCAATTCAACGGCATGGCGTATAGCTTCATTGAGACTAGCTGGCCTGGCTTGTTTAATCCGCAATCTCATGTCCGAGTCTATCAAGGCGTCAATGAACTGTTCTTTTACTAGTACCTCAATGACATCGGATGGTGCGGTCGGGTATGCTTGATTCGCTAGCCTCCGTATACTTTGTCCCAGCTCCGGTAATGACTCGGTCGCCTTTTGCCGCTTTTCTCGTAGCTGCGCACGATAGAGTTCAGTCTGGTTTGGTGGAGCAAACCGTTCACTGAGAACATATACCAGGTCCCTATATTTCTTCAATGGTCCACCTGGGAGGTTACCGAGTACTCCTTGTGCCTGGTCCCTGAGGGAAACAGCTAAGTATAACCCCTTCTCATCCTCGGTCCAATTTGCCAATGCAGCACACGATTCAAAATGGGCCTTGTAGTCCAACCATGACCCACTGCCGTCGTAGGTTGCAGGCTTGATATTAAATGATGGTGTTCGCCTGGTCTTTGCTTCGTTTGTGTCTGAACACTTGCTGCGCGGTTGGTATGTCCCGTCATCATACCAATACTTTGGTCGACTCAGTGGTTTACTAGATACAGATTCTTGCCAGTAGTGATCGGACAAGGGACCTTGTCGCTCCTGTGACAACCCGTCGCCAGTATTATTTCCGTATCTGTCCATGTCTGGTGTCTGCGGGCTAAACTGTACAAGCTTAGTATGTAGGTCAGCAGCATCCTTCGAACTCTGCCCCAGACCACCACCAGAATCAACATCTGAACTGCGCACAGTCACTATCCCGGAGTCAGCTGTGTTTTTCTCGTCTAATACCACCGTGGTAGTACTCCTCGGAGTCGAGTGCCTGGCTGGACCATCTCCTGGTTTCTGTCCTACACCATATGATGCGATGCGGGCCTCCAGCTCCTCTATGGTCTTGTTGATATCCTCCATTGCAAGTTAATACAAAAAAAATAACAATAGCTATGTTCAACTATGATCCCACCGCTGCCACCATTAAAATGTAACGTGCACCCTATGGTAGCGCGCGTGCACGCCGGGTCTCTCGATTTAGACAGAGCTACCTGCTCCGGAAGCGATTGGAATTCCTCAGCTACCTGGCTGAGCAGTTGAACAATTACTTAATTTAATAAACAATATATCTATACACTACAACAGAGAAGGACAGTACCTCTGTCCACCATGTCACCATACACGAGCCAACAATGTGTCCGCGGTACGTATCACGTCGCCTAGGCGTATGTTGCCCAACAAGGCTACCACACACCGCAACACTAACAGACTGTCAGCACTACAACACTGCAAGCACGTCCCTTATTACTGAGCCGACCACCGTACAGCTCCGACGTCGCCTGCCAGTGTCCTGTTATTATCACAGTACAAAGTGTTGTGCCAAGTACTGTATCAGTAGTCAGGCGTACCAGAGTAGCCCTTGCAGGCAACCCCTTTTCAGGAGATTCTGGCGTACCTGACACGTCAACGTACTGGCACCGACCACACGTAACGATAACTGTTACCAGAGCTGCCTTATTCAGGCAACCCCTTACTCAGGAGCTTCTGGTAACAGTATAATTGAACTGTGTGCTATAATACTTTATTACCTGTGATATAGCCGACCTTCTTCCGTCTGTCAAAATCTTCTTTTTCTGTTTACTGGTTTCAACCAGTATTTACATAAAATCTTATGTATTATTCTGGGTGTCTCCAGTATTTTCCTTCTCAATTAATACAGCACCAAAACCCACAAATACGCAAGACAAATGTTTTTATTTATTTATACAGGTATGATTACACATTTAGTAAACACTAGTTTCATGAAAACATAAGTCAATCATCGATAATTAAAATAATTAGGTAGGTGGGGAATGATACAAAACAGGACGTATACAAAACGTTACATGAAGGGAGATAACTCTAACTGAATAAAATCGTCACACTGGCATCCAGGACTGTGATGGTTACGTCTGTCGAAGTGTCTATGGCCCGGAGCTTTCGTTGGATGGCCAGCTTTCTGTAGTGGGTTTTCAGGTTACGGATAACGCCCTGGTCCATTGGTTGGGTGTGGGAGGTAGTGTTTGGTGGTAGAAATACTAGCTTGACGGATTTCAAACCCATTAACTGTGGGTGGGCTGGACAGTTGTCTACAATGAGCATGATATTGCGTTTTTTAGTAGACATTTTTCTGTCTAATTGATTCACCCATGTAGTGAATAAATCACTAGTTACCCATGCAGTTTTATTCGATTCGTATTGAACCGGGATATGCTTAATGTTCTTAAAGCATCGGGGGTTTTTAGACTTGCCAATGACTAATAGTGGGAGTTTATCAGTGCCCGACATGTTAGAGCAGACCATCACAGTCAATTTGTCTTTGCTCAATTTCCCCCCGTGACACTTTACATCTTTAAACTCAAGTGTCTTATCGGGTAGAAGCCGGAAAAAAATACCGGTTTCATCGGCATTGTAAATATCACAGGGCTGATATTCTTGAAGAATAGACTTCAATTTAGTCTGCCAATCAAGCATTTGATTGGATTGGGAATCAACAGATTTTGATTCCCCACAGACTTTCTTAAATGAAAGATTATTTCTTTCTTTAAAGCGGTCTAACCAGCCTGTAGATGATTCAAAGTCAGATAGGCCTAATTTGGTAGCAAACTCTTTTGCTTTAAGTTTTACTACTTCCCCAGATAGTGGAATATTCTGAGATCGTACCTGGGCGAACCATTTAATGAGTGCGTTTTCTAATTCTGGAAATTTTGCTTTTTTATCTCTTTTTCTAGATGACCCGATATCAGCAGCAAGAAATTTTTCTTTTATTGAAACCTTATTCTTAACCCAGGTAGATAGTGTGTTTTGTGGTACCCCGTACTTGTTGGCAACAGCTTTATTTTTAATCCCATTCTCAATGTCAATAATGGCTTGGTACTTAATTTCGTAGGTCTGCAGATTCATTTTTCTTTTTTGGCCCCTGCCTGATCCAGCCGATCTAGTTATCCCCCCGTTAAAAACGGGTCCTTCACCAGATTGCTCAGCTGAGTTAAAATGGCTAGCTATCCCCCGGATTGGTTACCGGGTCCTTCACTAGACACTTTGTGATCAGTAGGAGATTCCATGATTAATGTTTTACCGGTTACACATGATAATTTATACGGAAATCAACTCAAACATTGAGTATGAGCAATGCAACCAAGCCATCTCTCTAGAGAGTAAGGTGCGTTCCGCATGTTTTTACAGTACGGTAATTAGTACAACTATAAAATCTCAAAATGGCGTCATGTGATTTGACAATAATAACACTTGCCTCAATTCGGCGTGTGTATGTATCAATCTTTCTAACATAGCATATATTACTGTTCAAACTAATTATTGGTCATTGACTAATTGTATACAAGAGGTGGTAAAATGCCATTGTCCTGATCGACCGTAACGGTAAACAAAAGATTAACGCTGGAGGGTCTCGCTACAGGTGTGAATTTGTTTCGGTCGACTGACCATCGAGCACAGTGACCACAGGTAAATTTTGATCGATTTATTCATGGTGATTTTGAACGAATTTATATGACTTGTACTGTAGAAAATTATCGAAACACCGAGAATATCGAAACATAAATGATCGATTCATGAGTAGTGAGTTAAGTAGAAATATATAAGGAAAATAATCGGGACCAAGTAAAAATATCGACACAGCGAGAATATCGAATCATCGAAGATCGATTCATCGAAGTTTGACTGTATTAACATAATTGACTCACGTGACCTTAAAATTTGGTCAAGGTCATCCATATTAACAACAATTATAGATAAATATATTAAATTTATATGAAATAGATATCAAGTCTCTAGAGGCTCTAGGTTCTTTCAAACTTGTGAAGACGTTTCGTATACGTTGGTATCCTACATTAAAGTTTTGAACTTTGACCCCTATGGAAAACCGGAAATTTGTCTTTTGTGGAAGTTTTGCTTATACTAATCAAAAGCAAGTCTTTACAGTACATTGTTGACTAAATCACGTAACTGTTTTCCTCTGTTAAAGTAAGAAAACATCATTTAATGCTATTGATATAATTGACCCCTGTGACCTTGAAAGTGGGTCAAGGTCATCTAAATTAACAACAGTTAAATACAATTATATTAACTTTATATGCATGAGATATCAAGTCTCTAGGTCTTTCCAAAATTGAGAAGTAGTTTCGTATACGTTGGTACCCTACATTGAAGTTTTAAAAATGTGACCCCTAAGGAAAACCGGAAGTTGGTCTTTTGTGGAAGTGTTGGTGAAAAGTCCTAATAAGAGATATTTAATAACAAAAAAAAAGTTATTTGCAGTTTTGATTGTTAAAATAAGATTTTGATAGCTAATTAATTAAAGACCACATATTACCAGAAAACTTTTGTCAAGTTTTGAAAATATAATTTGAACACTCAGCTTCGTGTGCATTTGTATATCTTGTGTGAATGGAAAAAAGCAAAATAGCACAATTTGAAATCTCAAGGCTCCATTTAGGGATGCTAACGGGCGAACTGGACAGTTTTGCCTAATTTCCGAGTTTCAGATTTGTCCGTTCCGTACCAACACTACATTAATATGGATAGTGTAGCTATGAAATGGGTTAGAGGTGTTAACATGTGCAAAAGTTCACGGATAAAAGATAAAGTCTAATGAATGTCAAATAGATCAGAGTAAATATAGGTTTTATATATCTATTTTTGTTTCTGATAAATGTTATTTTACATTTTAAACTGTTTGCACTTCTATGGCATTCGTAGTTTTCTGGGATTTTTTCGGGAAAATAGTTTCATAATACATTTGCTTCGGAAAAAAAATGATGGTCCGTAAACTGGAGTCAGAAAAAAAGATTTGACCATTAAAAGAAAGTTGAAGAACACAAAGAAATAATTAATGTCAAATTTTATTTGATGTTAAATCGTTATTCATTCCATTATGAACATAACGATTTAACAATTTTTTAAATGTCACTGTTCATATATATATTTGATATAATCGCACGGAATCCATTCCTTAATAAAGCAATCAAAATGTTCGTGACAGGTTGTATTGGTTTACATATTTATTGTAAAGTGGAAATCAACAAGTCATTTACAATCGATCAGATATAGAAAAAAATATCCCTCCTAAGTAAAAGCGACTAATGTTGAAAATAATTACCATTAGAAAATAATATAAATGTTCTATTTTCAAAGAATGTGTCATACAACGAAATCCCTCTGTTAATAATTCAAAATAACAGTGACTCTAATCAAATTTGATTGTTATATAAAAAAAAATGTGGTCTCACTCTTCGTTGATGCTGCGCCTGCGTGTGAAGAGAAACAATATGGCGGGTACAGACACGAAAAGACGACGAGGTCCTAGGAATTATTTGACAAATTGACAGCACACGGAAACGTAAGAGGACGGAATTAAACCAGAAGAGGGGACATGTGAGAATATATATATGAGATAAGAGAGTGATAGATGGCGAACCATGAATCAAGAAATTGGACTGAAAACTGATTCAGAATTCGTGAAGCTGTCACTTGACAGGTTAGCATTCTGTTCGTCATTGATTGTAATATGATACCAATGTTTAACACGTCGAAGTCTCCAGCACTACAGATAGTATAATCGTTTGTAGGTTTAATGGTGATAGCTGTGTTACTAACTTTGCATTAATGATCAGCTTTTTCTAGAGACCCTACTCTTTGAAATAAGAGGAAAAACAATTTCATTTTCATCTTATAAGAAAAAACTGCAAGTGGAAGAAGAAAACACTAATATAGATGTAATAGGGTCGGTTTTTAGCTAATTTTGGCCGCAGTTGTTTAGCGTCACGTCGTTTGAATTTTCGCGTCGTCTGTTATCATTAAGATGTATGTATATATGTTGCGTCTATATGTCCAGTTTATCTATGTGACGTAGTGTGTCTACGTATGTCCAGTTATTGTCTCGTTTTCGTTCTTTGGTCTTTGTCTGTATTTGGCGTGTTGTTTAGTGGACAAAGGGGACGTTGACCAGTAAGCACGTTTCAAACCTCCGTTCGACATTTGAGGCGTTTGTCCCGTAAATTGTAAGTTATATTTTTATATATTGCTTTGAAAGAACGATAATGGTGTTATATATCTTGTGTAACATCATTTGTAATGATGTTGATAATTATTTATCAAAATCCGCGTGTATTGTGTACGCCAATAATATCGTCGATCTTGTGTAGTTTTATGCAAAACAAATATTCAATGACCCGTACTGTTTAATTACTTATATATGCGTTGTTTTTATTACAGTTGATCGTTTACGATCCCGATGATATTCATGTGATTAATAGCGCATTAATGGCTATAGCGCATTGCTATATTCCTTTTTTTTATATTTACAAAGTATTACTCGTTTGTATCCATATACTACAAGTAGATATACATTGTGTATAGTAAACTCCCTTTTGAGATAATGACAGCTGTGATATGATCTATAATGTACATTATGTGTGATATTTAATGTATTGATATGTATTATAAGGGATCATGCTTATGTGCTTTATGTGTGCTATGTTGTAGGGTCTTTATAATTAGATAAACCGAATAAACAACTGGAACCGGAACCGGTGTTCGCCCTCGTTATTTCAACACCTATCAAATTTACATAGAATCTATAGATAACTTGAAAATAATATTGATATTAATCAATTTAATCTAGAAGAATTACAGGTGAAAAAGGAAGAGTTAGAGAATATAAAAACATCTAAATTGAAGGGTAATATTTTGAGGTCAAAAGCAAAATGGATTGAAGAGGGGGAAAAACCTACTAATTATTTTTTAAACTTGGAGAACAGAAATTTCATCTCAAAGATTATCCCTGTGATAGAAATAGAAAATGGGGAAGTAATAAGAAAACAGGAAGACATTTTGAGTGAAATAATATTTTATGAACAGCTATATTCTAGTGAATGCAGTTTTGAAGATGTAGATTTAAACCAGCTTTTATCTAATTTTAACCTTCCAAAATTAAACAATGCAGAATCTTTATTGTTAGAAGGAAGTATTACATATACTGAAGCATCACATACCTTGAAACATATGAAGAATAATAAAAGCCCTGGGTCAGACGGATTTACAGCAGAATTTTTTAAGGTTTTTTGGAAAGAATTAGGGCAATTTGTAGTTAGATCTATTAATTTTGGATATGGTCAGGGAAAGCTATCAATAACACAAAGACAGAGAATTATCACATGTTTACCAAAGGGAGATAAACCAAGACAATTTCTGAAAAACTGGAGACCTATCTGTCTTCTAAATATTGTTTATAAAATTGCATCTGGTTCAATTGCTCAAAGAATGAAATCAGTTTTAGATAAATTAATAAATTTAGTCCAGTCAGGATTTATTTCAATTAATCAAGGTAATCTCTCATCTTTCCTCGATATCAAGAGGGGCTGCCGTCAAGGGGACCCAATTGCCCCGTATATTTTTATATTATGTGCAGAAATTCTGGCTATTAAATTGAGAAATAACAAGTGTATAAATGGTATAAAAGTAAACAATTTTCCTCTGTTAATTTCTCAGTATGCAGATGATACCACTCTCATTTTAGATGGAACCAAGAAATCATTAAAGGAATCCTTGGAGGAACTCACTAAATTTGCAAAAATCTGTGGGCTAAAAATCAATGTAAGTAAAACTCAAGTTATATGGATAGGGGACCAAAAATATAGTGATGAGACATACTACCCAGAATTAAACTTGCAATGGGGGAAAAATTCATTTCTACTCCTTGGTCTAGAATTTCATGTTGACCTACACCGAATACCTAAACTGAATTATGACAAGAAGTTAGTGAAGCTGAAGTCATTAATAAAGATCTGGAGCAGAAGAATTTTAACACCAATAGGAAAGATAAATATAATAAAGTCATTACTTATATCACAACTCAATCACCTTTTTATATCACTCCCTAATCT